TAGGCCTAATGCCTGCTGAGTATTATTAGCCCACCTGCTGCCAGGTGTCAGACACACCAAGTAGTCTGGTAGTACCAGAGAAGTAACAGGATGAAAAATGGAACCTACCAGCCATAAGAGAGTTGTGCAGAATCTGCTCATCATTCTAAAATCAGCCCTGATGTGCAACATGCTTGAAAATGAAAATTCTAACTTCTCCATGAAGTAGGAAATCATAAACAAGTAGTCTCATCAGAGAAAGATGGAAAAAGTAAAAAAGAGAAAGCACTCACGACAGGGTGTAGTCACACTGCAATCCATTCTTCATCTCTCCATCCCATTGGTATTTGGGGATGCTCATGCCTGATATGTTTTTATTTTTCTTTCTTTCTTTTTTCCCTATGTATAGCAAACATATTCTCACTTATTTACCCATTCAATCACTGTATATCATTACAGCTTGCAAAATACATTTTCCCAGGCTGAATATATCATATATTAGTACAATTAAAGATATTAGAATATGCTTTATCATCAACAGAAAATTTTCCATTTTGGGCCCCTTAAATGTTTTGCTTCTTTCTTTTCCCTCTTGATTCCCTTCCTCTCACCCTCCCCTATTTTCCACCTCACTCTCACACTCTCTCTAGTATCTGCAATTGTTCTCCATGGTTTTATATCTTCTAGTATTTTAGTTTCTGCCATAGAGTGCAGACATTAGCCTCTGGGTCCAGGATTTCAACCACAATCATTAAGATTCTGCTCCTTTTGGGAACCAGCAGTTAGCAAAATGGCTATGTCGCTGGATTCCCACATAGTCGACCGTGGTTCGCGTCCCAGACCCGGTGGCTTAGAACTCATGCCGGGCGCGTGTGTGTGCGTGCTCAAGATCCTGAGGGGAGAATGGAGAAGGGATTGCGGTGTGACCATCCCCCCTGGGGGGAGATTTCTCACTTTCTGTCTCTCTCTCTCTCTGGCTATAGTGACAACCTCTCAAAAAAAAAAATAAAGATTCAGCTCCTTTAACCACTAGGCTATGGGACCAGTCTCCCATGTGAATATTTTTTTAAATGTTTTATTTATGGCTATAAATAAGTTGGGCAGCAGGACTCTGTAGTAAGAAAGATCCTGAGCTTGGAGTATAAAGGCCTGAGCTCTTTGTGTTTGTCAGCAACCTGGGCCTATTGCTTTATCTGTAAGGTGGGAATAATTTCTGCCCTGCCCAACATTGGGCTGTGATGGTGATGTTTGAGTCAGCACTAGGCATACCTAATACTTGAAGGCAGAAGGAGACTCTGGTCATTTTTGGATGCAGAGACTCCTACTTGTTGTCTGGTCAACGTTATCTTATTCATTAGAAGACTGGGGAACAAGCAGATGGCATAATGGTTATGTCGCAGAACTCCCACATAGTTGACTGCAGTTCGAGTCCCAAACCCGGTGACTTAAACCTCATGCCAGGTGCATGTGCATGCATGCCCAAGATCCTGAGAGGAAAAGGGAGGGGAAGCGACTGTGGCATGGCCATTCATTCCCCCTAGGGGGTGATTTCTTACTTTCTGTCTCTCTGTCTCTATGTCAATCACATGTGCCCTATAGCAAAAGCCTCTTTCTCTCTCTCTCTTAAAAAAAAAAAAAAAGACTGAATCCTCCTCCTACCAGAAAGTACAGTTGTCCCCACTTGCCTGAGGTATCAGTTATACATGGTCAAATCATTGTCTAAAAATAAGTGAGTACAGTATAGCAAGGTATTTAGAGAGAAATAAAGAGAACATATTCACATTTTATTGTAGCATATTTTTATAATTGTCCTATTTTATTATGAGTTATTGTTGTTAATTTCGTACTGTGCCTAACTAATAAATTAAACTTTATAATAGGTATGCACATATAGAAAAAAACATAGCATAGCCAGGGTTCAGGTATCCACTAGGATCTTGGAATGTATCCCCTACGGATAAGCTGGGACTACAGTTCCTGTGTGTGTTATCCAAGATGAACACCTATCTAATCATCTAATCATCCTCTCTGCTCCTATCTGGTTTTAAGAAAATGAGAATTTCCAATAATAAAAAAATGAAATTATTTTGAGCATTCTTTGCCCTCTGTCTCTGTTGCTTGAGATTATGATGACATTGTGTATCCTTTTTAAGTGTCTAAAAATTAAAATGAATGAGTACAAAACAAGAAAAGAAAAAAGACATCTCCTCACCGCTCCCTTTTACGCCTGGTTTCAGGGTGACTGATGCTTCCTTGTTGATCCCTTTCCCACCAGGTCGGTGGCCACACAATGCTGCCTATTCGCTGGATGCCTCCGGAGAGCATCATGTACAGGAAATTCACCACAGAAAGTGATGTCTGGAGCCTGGGCGTCGTGTTGTGGGAGATCTTCACCTACGGCAAGCAGCCCTGGTACCAGCTATCAAACAACGAGGTGTGCAGTGGGTCTGGCGTGTATACCCCTACCCCTCCCTAATGGGCTGAAATCCCAGAGGCCTCCCTCAGCTAGGGCCTGCTCTCAGTCCAGAAGTTCAAACATGACCTTGTCTGGCTTGGTTGGGGGTGATATTTCCCAAATAACTTTCTATATACATATACATCTTCAAAAAGCTCACTGGAAGTGTGCACTATGAAAAACTACAACCAATCTTTTTTTTTCCCCACCAAACAAACTTGTGCTTTAATTCCACTTTTCTAGGAATGTTCTGAAGCTCCCTCATGTAGTTGTTCCTAAATTAAGGAGTTTTGGAGAAAGGAAAGCATTGTGTTTGCTGATCTCTCCTTGTTCCTTTAGGTGGGATTGAGAAAGCTTACGATGTTCATCTAATAAATAACAGATGGAGCATTCCAGCACTCTGATAGTCCAGAGAGGTTTTGGTATCATTCTAATGAAGTTTAAGTTTCTTTCCTTTGTGCACATTTTATTAGAACATTATCTTCTAGTGAAAAGAAACTTAAGAATTTTGTTTTCCTATTCTAATCCTTTTGCAAATATGTCTCTATTTGAGGTATAGCTTCTTGGTCAGGAACTTCACATGTTTTTCAGATTCATGTCAGTCTTTTCTATCTAATTTCACATTATCCAATAGGACTGCTTGCTTATATAGCCTGAAGTTTTCTATTAGGCAGTACCTTAATACAAAAGAAACTCAGGTTTCCTGTCAGGCCACTAAAAACTAAAACATGTGAAAGTTTCAGGGTGAGATGTGGGAGAATTCCATGTAAATGATTTCCTCACTAATTCTGTGAAGTCAGAATGATTGGAATCATGGCTGTGAACCAACCACATAAGCCCTGATATAAACCAAACCTCCTTATGAGAAAACTATTGAGTAGGCTTCTTTAAAAAGGGGCCTCTCTTCTGTTCCTCTTTGTGTTGGCATTTATTTTACCTGCTCTACTTTTCCTCCTGTCTGATCCTGTCTTTGCTCCCTGTGCAGGTGATAGAATGCATCACTCAGGGCCGAGTCCTTCAGCGACCCCGCACATGCCCCCAGGAAGTCTATGAGCTGATGCTGGGGTGCTGGCAGCGAGAGCCCCACATGAGGAAGAACATCAAGGGCATCCATACCCTCCTTCAGAACTTGGCCAAGGCGTCTCCTGTCTACCTGGATATTCTAGGCTAGGGCCCTTTCCCCAGACCAATCCTCCCCAATGCACTCCTCAGATGGGCCGAAAGGATGAACATCTTTTAACTGCCGCCAGATGCCATCAAACTGCTGTCCTTCACTCTGACAGTGTTAACAACAGAGACACAGAGAAGCTTTCAGAGGGAAGCAACATGGACTTCTCCATCCATAGACACAGTACTGACTTCTTTTTGGCATTCTCTCTCTCTCTTTCCATCTCCCTTGGTTTGTTCCTTTCCTTTCTATCCTTTTTCTTTTCTTTTTGGTCTTCCCTGCTTCATAGTCCTTACCCTTTCTTTTTAATCAATCTGGCTTCTGCATTCCTATTAACTCTGCATAGACAAAGGCCTTAACAAACCTAATTTGTTATATCAGCAGACACTCCAGTTTGCCCACCACGACTAACAATGCCTTGTTGTATTCCTGCCTTTGATGTGGATGAAAAAAAGGGAAAACCAACATTTGACTTAAACTTTGTCACTTCTGCTGTACAGACATGGAGAGTTTCTATGGATTCACTTCTATTTATTTATTATTATTACTGTTCTTATTGTTTTGGATGGCTTAAGCCTGTGTATGAAAAAGAAGACTTGTGTTCAACCTGGGAAGCCTTTATCTATGGGAGATTAAAACCAGAGAGAAAGAAGATTTGTTATAAACCACAGTATGGGAGGAACAAGGACAACCATTGGGATCAGCGGGCGTCAGTTCCTACGAAAAATCCAGCAACCATTGGCTGGGAGGAATGTATTCGGCACCTTCCCCGAGGACCTTTCTGAGGAGCAAAAAGACTGTTGAACTCTGTGCCGTGGACTCTTCTTTCCCCATCACCAGAAATACTAGCGTGCTGCAGGGAGAAATGATGGCTTCTGTGAGGCACAAGATGGCGGTGCGGCATAAGCTCAGACACAGTCCTGTCTTTGTAGGTCGTGTTGATAGCACTGGTTTTTATTTATTTATTTTTTTTCTAGTGTTATCTGCTGAGCCTTTGTCAAATTAAAAATAGGCGGGTTCTTGTCCAGCTGTTATTTCAGGGTCAGGTGGGAAGGCAAAGGACTTAGAAAACATAGGACAGCTATAAATTTAGAGGCAAGTTTCTCTTACACTGAACTTTTTGGATAGCACTTCCCTCTGACCCCTACCCTCCACTCCCACCCATCCTTTTAACTGTGCAAGCAAACGTGTGCATGGTCTTTGTCGATTAATACCTTGTGTGCAGAAACTACCACTCCAGATGTGCCCCTGATAGGTAGAGCAGATCCCTAAAAGGTGGTACGTATATAATTAGGGGAAGCTAATGGAGTTCATTAGCTGCGTATAAATCTCTGCGCTGTGTGGCTGTGATGGGTTTAGCGGATATGGACCCTGAAGCCTGGATATTCTCATCCACGTCAAACCCATGTAATGGTGGGGGGGGGCAGAATTGCTCGCAAAAGGAAACCTCACCCTGGGGACATCACATGCATTAATATTCAGTGTACACAGGTTAAGTCCCTTGCGCTGGACTCTGGTTGGGAGAGTGGTTTCATTCCACATGTACTTCCATTGTCCATATGCTGTTCTGTTTTCTTCGCTCCATTAAGATAAAACTAAAAAATTCAGCACAGCATGCCAATGGGAGGCTGTGTCCCTACTGAGCATTGGAGATGTGCTTCTGGGCATAGTCATTGGTTTTGTGAAAGGAGGCTGTAAATTTATATATCAATTTACAGTTGTTTGAATGACCAGTTACACCAAGGAAGAAAAATATTTCTGTTCCTCAAGAAAACTTGCTACCCTCTGTGAGGGCAATTTTGCTAAACTTGACATCTTAATAACACGAGCCAGATTGAAAGGGAGTGATTTTAATACATCGTAGGTCATTTTATTTTGTATTTGTTTCTGGAGGTACAATAGCTCTGTTTAGGTTTGCTTATGCCTGCTAAATACTGGAGCACCTTGTTTTCCATTACAGGCTCTGAAAGTCAGTTCTCAAAATTTCAAAGTTGTAAACTTACAGAAAACAACAGGAAATCCAGTAACTTCTATAGTCAAGTGAGGGGATTGGACAAGGTAAAACCTACAGTCCCTTCAGGTTCTGCTCTGGCCTACGAGAGATGGGAGTTGAGATGTTCATGCTCTTTGTCAGTGAAAAAAACACCCCTCCTGAATACACAAAACAATATAACGAAAGCCATATCTCCATGATATATACACGTATGTATATATCATACTAAGGAACCATGGTACTGTCAAAACACTGTGGATCTCTGTGAAGCAGTAAGGAAGGGGCAGATTTGTACAAAAACTTTTCTAGATTCAATTAGCGATGACCTAAACATCTACACAGGTTTGTCATTCTGCATGTTTGGCCAGCTGCTCCGAGGGGAAGAAGTTGCGAGTTATCAGTTTTATTTTAACAGAGAACAAAGGAGGGAATACTTTCAGAGATCAAATTCAAGCAGGGCTGTGCAGTTTTAGAGAAAAAAAATTTGTTTAAGGGAGACTAGAAGATGGAGTGTTCCATTTCAGTTTTGTGTTTTTCTTTGAAGGAAAAAAGCAAAAAATGAATAAAAATTCTCTTTACACCTTCTGACAAGTCCCTCAAGGTCTTGAAATGAAAGGTTCTATGCAAGTGCAAAGTTTTATAGTTATTTATATTGCTGATATTATTATTATTAATTATTTCCTCTGTTGTCTCAAGAGTATGTGCTGATTTCAGAGACGTCTCACATTGAAAGAATATCAGATTGCTTTCACAGTAGTTGAATGAGTCACAATTCTGCATATTCTTAAAATATTCATAGTTGTTTCTTCACCACCCCCTTTCTCAAGGTCTTCTAATTTTTAGACAAGTAGCATTCTCATTCTAAAATGTAATAATCACCAAATATGACCCGCCATCAGCTACCTTAAAAACCTCAATGGACATAATAACAAACTCCATTCTCTAGCCCAAACCTAATCTGACAATCATTTCCATTTAGAGTGTTTAATAGTTTTCCAAACACTTTTTGCATGTGTTAGCAAACTATTTCTATTTTTTATAGCTAAGGAAATTGAGACTCAGAGGAGCTCAGAGACAGGGAAGAAGTCTCTAGTCTAGCTTCTAGCGCCACCGAGACTGAATCCAAGGATGCTGACTGAAGTTCATGGTTCTGTCCTCTAGAGACTTTAATATACAAACAAACAGTGCAGGAAAGAAAGTGAGCTAACAAATTTATGAAGCAAGATAAGAAGTTATAAGAAGGAAAGAAAATATTCAAGAAGACAAGCAGCTGAGTATTGTGATATATATTCATGCTCTTAGCTTCAGCTAAATCCTTGTACACTGAACCGATGTCATAATTAGGCTTATGTAGAATACACTTTGAACTATGCTATAAAGGATTATATCAGAATTCATATTATACATGTGTTCACATCAGCGCTACCTGTGGTATTTTCATGTATTTATATATGTGTTATAAATACTTGATTTATACATATACAAATGCACATACATAGTGTGTTTATGTATAAATTTATAGGCTCACAGTAATAGAGATAATTATAAGTAGGGTGCAGAATGAATAATTTGCTTAAAATCTGCTAAATAACCAAAACTTTTTAATGTCATGTTGTTGTTAGTGCTTCCATTCTCCATGTGGGTAGGACTACATCGCGCTTTTCAACTCTGTGCAGTACTGCATGGGTGGAGGGCATATTTAAGATAATGTGCTTCCCAAAACAACTGAATCAAAGCCATCCCACTACATTGAGTCCTTTCTGTGGTTCCTTACACGGGAAAATGCAGAGTGAAATAGCTCTCCTTATGTAAAGATCCAAGAAAGGAAGATTGATCATTCTCTTGTTGTTTTGCTCATTTGTATTGTGCTCACCTTATCCCACTATGACTCCTTTATGCTTGTGTTCAGAGTCCAGGCATTCCATATATATTGGAATGTTGAGAGCCCAATGACTCAAGGCCAATGGTGAGAAATCCAAGACCCCACACAGTGAGATGAGCAACTGCTGAGAATTCCCACATCTGAGTGTGAATGCACCAGCCAGCAGTGTAGAATGCTGTCCTTGGCAAATCATCATTACTCTAAGATTCCTTGGTCAGATTGGACTCATTCTACCTTTCTTTTTGGCAAATTGGACAGCCTATAATACTAATAACACTAACCTGTATCTAAATAAATGAATGACTGCATTACACACATACCCTTGATTCTCTTGCTCCCTCACTTTTTTTTTTCCTCTCCTGTTTGAGGACTTCTATTTTTACTTCTATTTGACCTCAGTTTGGCTGGCTGTCACTGAAACGAAATCTCTTGAGAGGAATGACTAGTGATCCAACTCTTCAAATGTCTAAGTTAGCAGTCAGAGCTGATTCTTCATGATACATAATTGGAATGTGGAGACTCTGAGGTTGTGGTAGTTTGTACATGAAGTTCAAATGTTACTCTGATGAATTAGGGGTGGGCGGGATTTATAGTTAATAATGGCAGCGCAGGAAGGGGTATCTTCTTGTTGTCAGGGCTGGAATAAATCACTGCTGCTCGACTCAAAGGTTCTATTGTATCCTTAGTTTTGCATTTTTTTCCCCTTCTTCTCCTTTGACCAGTATTTATTTATTCACTTATTTATTTATCTATCTATTTATCTGTTTTCGATCCATTCATCACAAACACAAAGCAAAGCAAAAAAATAAATATATATATATATATATATATGTATGTAATATGTGTTGCAGGCAAAACACTGTGAATTTCACAATCACCACCAAGCAACTCTTTTGCCATCTTAACATACGTCTCAGGAGACGAAATGGGAAAAGATGCGGATGTCATTTTTCAGTCTATGCATTCTAGGTCAGGTCCATGTTTATTTTATTTGTTTGATCTGTGGAGTAATAAAAATGATCCTGAGTGAGGGCTAGCTACACATTCAACCTACTGGAGCAAACGTACTAAAAGCTGCTAGTAGCCATGTGTTTGAACAGGAAAAACAAAAATTGGAGAAAATGAAATGAAATGTAAAGGCCTACATCTTGCAGCTTGTATATCTTATTATTGCTTATAAAAATGTATAAAACAGCTGGAAATGTTTTAAATACAAGGTCTTTGAATCAAATGTGGATTTTAAATATGTGATCCCTTGACAAATGACCAAATTCTGGTGACACATTGCTCCCTTCGTTCTTTGATCATTACCTATGACTTACAAATCTGCCTAGAGATATGGACACTCTGCATTCGCTTCTGTATCTGGAGAGATGTTTGTATATATCCAGGCCGTATACACACACATTTCAATATCTCTCTGCAGATATATTTCCCCTTCAATCGTGATCTGGTATTTGGAACTCTATCTTTTCATTTAGTTTATTTTCCTTTTAATGTGACGTCTCTGTGCCAATATTTACTGGTTCTTGTTTTGCAATCTGTTTTGAGGTCCATTGCTTTACTAAGATCCACTGCATCTTGGCTGATTTCAAAGTGACACCTGAATACAGTGTTTAAAAAAAAAAAAAAAAAGTTTTGTTTGTAAATCATGTGACCAGCTTCTCTCAACCTGACATGGAAAGTCTCTTGTACTACAGTGTATTTAATAAAAATGATGTCTTACAATAAATAACATCCTCCAAAAGAGAGACTAAAAGCGACATGATGATTACTTTTTAGAAATGTATAGAATTTCACAAATTATGGAGTGTTCTTTTTTGTATGTCTGTATGTGTAGTAGATATGATCATTGCAGATAACTGCAGTTTTTATTAGTTTAAGGTGATGAAAATTAAGTTACCATGGTTTCCTAGATGATCCATAAATCGAACACTTTTTGACATGTGACTTGAACAACAATTGTTTTACTTCCTGCAATGATAAAAATGTTTAACCTGCAATACCAAAATTGTAGCTTTTAGTCACATGTGGTTAGTGGACACATGAAATGTGGTAAGTTTATTGAAGACCTGAACTTGAAGTTTTAATAATTTACACTTAAGTAGCTACACATGGCCAGTGGCTGCCCTGCAGAACATACAGAGTGAGAAGATAGAATCAGCAGAGTTTCTGAAATATCAAACCTAAAATACCTCCCAGGAGATGGCATTCTAGGAATGACCAGGAGCAGAAGTAACTGAACTGAAAATGCCACACCTCTTGACCTGTCAATGCATCAGTGTTTCTTGAATCATAAAGGTGGAAGAGGACAACAGAGAGTGTGTTGGCTGGGATCTTATTGCCTGTCTTCCTCACCATCTGAGTGGTCCACCTACATTTTTGCTTCTCAGTATTTCCTAGTTCTATTTCCCAGTATCTGGCCTACTTTCCATGACCTTCTGAGAACCACAGCAGCATCTGAGCAGTATCCCTGGTATAGGCTTCAGGAACATAAGGGAGTGGATGGTCCAAAACTCAAACTCTTTAGAAACATTGCCTCTTGAATACCTCCTCTTAGTAGTGCAGATACGTTTCCATTGACTTAAAAATATGCACACACACACACATACATATATATGGATATATAATGTTTTTTTTTTTTTTTGAGAGCTTTTTGCTATAGGGCACGTGCATTCACCAGAAAGGCAAAGAGAGACAGAGAGATAGAAAGCGAAAAGTCACCCCCCAGGGGGGATGGCCATGCCACAATCCCTTCTCTTCTCGGGATCTTGGGCACACACGCACAAGTGCCCAGAGTGAGTTTAAGCCACCATGTCCAGGACTGGAACCACAGTTGACTACATGGGAGTTCAGCGACATAGCCATTACACTAACTGCTGGTCCCTAGATATATAATAATTTTAAAACCCAGCAGGAACTTCAGGAAATCAAAGATATATAAGAGGCAGCACAACTTGTCCAAAAATCAAAATAGAATTATGTCCCTCTGGGATCCAGGCATTATCCCACTCTAAGGGTCTAAGAGATTGGATTAAAAGAAGTAAGTTTAACCACAAATGCCTTGCCAACCATACCCCAATTTGGACTATTAAAGGTTCTAACTTTTGCCAGACTATGTTTTCATATTTCTATTATCGGTGCAATCACACTGATATCAATTTAAATTCTAAACCTAAAGTCATGTATTCCAGATCTTGCACTGGCTTCACTGTATATCCCTTCTAGCCCTCTGCCAGACACCCCTTTCATGCACACTTAAGGATGCCTGATTTCCTAGTTGAGAAAAATATGAATACTTCTGAAATATTATACATACTGTATTAAAATGGTCATACTTACTTTTAGAATAAATTGACTAATAAAATTAATACTTACTGTGTGCCAGGGTGTTATGTATGTTTCTGGTGGCTGCTGTAGCAAATTACCACAAACTAGGTGGCTTAAGACAACAGAAACTTAATAATGCACAGTTCCTGTGGCTGTAAATCTGAGAATAAGGCTGCTCTCCCGTTGAAGGCCATAGGGAAGACTCTGTTTCTTATCTGTCCCAGTTATTGGTGGCTCCAGATATTCTTTGGCTTGTTGCTGCATCACCCTGATCTCTGTCTTCCTGGTCACATACCTCCTCCTCTTCACCTATTTTCTCATCTGGGTGTCTGTCTCAGAAGATAGCGTGATTGCATTTAGGGCTCGCCCAGTAATCCAGGATAAGCACCTCCTCTCAAAATCCTTAATCATATATTTTTCCATATAGAATAATACATAGTCACAGGTTCCAAGGGTTAGAGCCCTTTCTGGGGAGCTACCACTCAATCTACTCAACTTACCCAACGCTTACATCTGTCCTAGGAGGTAGGTACTATCATTAGTCCTAATTTACAGGTGAAAAAACTGAAGCATTGAGAGTTAAGAAATTTGCCAAAAAATTAAGTCGAAGGAAATTGACCAATAAATACAGTGCTTACTATTTGCCAGGGAGTTTTATATATTAACTCAATCCTCATACAACCTCATGAGATTGAATAACACCAGAGGTTGTTTATGCTAACAGGCAGAAATATGGATCCCTGACTGGTGTAAGGAACCCCTGTAGCTAAGGGTCCAGGCCAGTCATATGATATGGGGTTCAGGTCTGGGCTCTGGGCCCTTCGGAGACTGGTAAAAAGCAGTTCAGTGGCTCCTCTTATAGGCATGAGGTTACAAGAAGCAATTAACACTAATGCTCAAGGTTCAAGGAAACTAGACAGTCTCTAAGAAATTGAGGGAACCAGCAGTTAGCGTAATGGCTATGTCGCTTGACTCCCACATAGTAGACTACGGTTCGCTTCCCAGACCCGGTGGCTTAAAACTCATGCCGGGTGCGTGTGCGTGTGTGCCCAAGATCCCAAGAGGAGAATGGAGAAGAAGGGATTGCGGCGTGACCATCCCCCTGGGTGTGATCTCTGATTTTCTGTCTCTGTCTGTCTGGTGAGCGCACACGCCCTATAGCAACAAAACCTCTCCAAAAAAAAAAAAGAAAAAAGAAAAAGAAAGAAATTGAACACAAGGACTTTGGTCATTAGGGACAGATAAGAATTTAGCCACCAAACTGAAGACCACAATAAAGGCAGAGCTTCCAGCAAGGCTTTCTTTGTGTTTTTCTGGGCCCCGTGCTCCTAATCCCATCTCCCTTCACACATCCGTCTAAGGGAGGCTGAACCTGCAGGTAGAAGGAGCTGCCTAGCAGTGGGGTTCTAGAACTAGTTCTAGGTGATGTTAGAACTCAGATTTAGGAACTCCTCTCTTGCAATAAGATCTCCGCAAGGCTGTTGGCCAAATATCAGGTTCTTGGGGCACTTCTCCTGGTTAGAGCTCTATAGTGCCTAAAGTTCCATCCTCATTCACCATCCTTCGAGTAATGTTTTACAATGGAAGCAAGGTTCAGATTGAAGTCTTCTAAAGAAGCAAAGATTCATCATGAAGACTACATGCCTTTTATTAAGGGTAACTTTGATGCAAGGGCAGGGATGTGAAATTCCTGGTTCACGTATCGGACTAGAAACAGCCTGGTTTCTGTTCAGATCAAGTGTCGAGGAGAATCTCAAGAGCTCTGTTCGATGAAACCTGCATGCATGGCATTAGAGAGCTGAGTTTGTCATATTCTTCTACCTTCTTCATGCAGAAATGATGGTGCCTGTACAATATTTCTAATTTGCAGAATCAGTCATTTCAACTAAACCTTCTCTGTAAAAAAATAAAAAGAAATCAAATAACCTTTATGCTAATTAACAATCCATCTAGCATTGAATAACAAAATTTTAAATACCAATTAACTTCTAAAGTCACTTCCCATGTGGGCCTTCTCATGCTGATCATGTCTAGGAATAGGGTAGATTTAACTAGTACATATGTATCACACTTTATAAAATTTTCCCTTTCTTTTCAAAAGACAGCATCTCATTATTATAATTCTCTTGACTCAGCCTCCTGAGTCTCTGGGATTACAGGTTCACACAATCATTCCCAGTTTTGTAGAGAGACCCAGCTTTGGGTCGGGTCCAGGGATCAAACCCAGGACTCCCATGTGGTTCCAGCCTGAAGAGTCTTAGCAGCAGGTGCCACCACAGCTGGGCCTGTAAACAACTGATTTTAAAGTCAACTGTCATACAGGCCAAATAATAACCTCCTAAAGTAAAGCTACATTCTTTTCTCTTATAGTAAATATGGATATATAGCTACCAAACTC